GAGATGGTAAAGCAACATCTCTATTCAGATCAAAATCTAAACAGAAAATTTCTACGAATGAAATATCACGAAGTTTAAAACGAACTTTGTGATTAAACTTAATATATTTTCTTTTATAAAACCAGATTCCTAAAAAGATATTATTATTATTATTATTATTATTATTATTATTATGACCTAATATAAAAGTTCCAACGATTCGTTATAGAATGTATACAAAATCAAATGAAAGATAAGTGAAATAATATCCACATCTCATCGATAACACTGTTCTCTGAAACGATAAAGAAAATAAAACAGAAATCAACCATCTCTCGCCTGTCAAATATAACACGGAAGAAAGAATCTTCTCCGTTCTGAAAAATGTCGCGACCGCTGTTCGACGTAATGCCATATCCCATCCATCCGTGGCACGGCTGAGAAGTAATTTCGCAAATCTTTCTAGGTCGCGCGATATTAACGGACGGCCGGGAAACGAAATATCACGCTTGAATTTCCACGACTTGCACCGTCATCCCCGAGACATGTGTCGGGTGCCGCGTGTGCCGCGTATATGAGGCCAGCAAGTGGCGAGAATCCTCTCGCGAGAGGAGGAGCGCGGAAAATCCGACATTGCGCGAAACGTGCACACCATGCCATATATATATATATGTATAATAGATAACTCGATGCTGATGTATCATTTACGCCAAACACTTATCGATCATCTTTTACACAACACGTCTTGGAATCCTTGGATCGATCTCGATGGCAACATAGGATATAAGTGTGTATGTGTGTAATGCACACGACAATCTGAAAATATCTCAAGTTTTCATTCGATTCGAAAAAGTATTGGAACTTTAAAACGTAATAACTTTTCTTAAAATTTCCAATTTTGAATTCTTCCAAATCTAATTTTAAGAAAGTGTATATAAAGATTGTGTTGATAATTCTTGGCTCCATTATTACATATATATATTGGTTCATTGTATGCACCATGGGATACCATAGAAACCTTAGAAACGCAGTAATGCGTTTAAGAATAAAGTCTCGTTTCCTGGTAGGCTCGAATGATGGTAAATTTCGCGAAACGGTGATACATCCGGCCAAATTATACATCTCATAAAATATTCCCTGCCGGTACCTCGAAGCAGAAAGTATTTCGCATAATATCTTCTGGAGCCACGCGGAAGGAGGAGGGGAAGAGAAGAGGAAGGGGTTGGCAACCCTTGTCCTGGTTCGATCCGTTGCGGCTGAGAAGGAGGGAGAAGGAAAGTGGAAGAAGAAGAAGAAGTCTGGGCACGATACCCAGTGAAAAAGAGAGAAAAGGAATAAATACAAGGAGCAGAGTTCGAAGAAGAGAAAGAATCAGGATCGTCCCGATACGCTGATACGGCGGAACGAAAAGAACGGCACAATATTTCAATATGCTAAAATTATCGAGCGTTTCCTCCTTTATTTAATTTTCTTTAAATAAAAATTTCCAATTCTCTGCTTCATTAGTTAAAAAATATATGGAATTAAATATTAATTTTTAGATATATATTGTGATCCGATCAATATGGGTGGAATAATTATTATTCTCATTATTGTGTCTCAGTTTCATGAGAAACTTAAAATTTGAAAACTAATATTAATATTTTCTGAAAATGATTTAATACTTCAAGAATCTATTCTTCAAGAAAACTATCAATATTCTCTGAAAATGATTTAATACTTCAAGAATCTCTTTAATATCCAATCTTTCAAAATTAAATTAAATTTTCCTATAATACTGGTTTACAATTTTTTCATTGTTTCATAACTAAAATAAATATCCTCAAACAACTTTAATTATTGCTTTCGGATTTGCCTCTTCATCAAAATAATTCTATACTAGATCATAGATAAGTATAAACACTTAATCACAAAAAACAATAATTATTATTAACACTCGTAATAGATTTGCAATAAACATTATTCCACGATATTAATTTATATTGTCTCGCTCATTCAGGAAATATTCGTATACTTATAAATAGCAGCGTACGTGCTCGATTGATCATAAAAACGGGGGATTGAAAACGCCATGTTCTATCCCATCCCTAATAATACAATTATTCTTCCGTGGACAGGAAGCAGGGACGAACTATTCCAGCAGAGCGGCGCGAAAGGGAATGCACAACGTAATATCGAGATATCGAAATGGAGCGTTACATCGGAACCCGGTTCTATTTTCTTCGGCCGCGTAAACCATCGCATATTCCTTTCTCGTGGCGCGATAGCTACTCGGGTCCAGTCGATATCGTCAGTCTTCAGGGAGATGGTGGAATCGGATTCGTCGGACATGCCCGTCCAACCGTAAAATCGAGTCGTATATTTTGGTATTTTTTCGCGGGAGGATTCGATATCGCGCGCTTTGAGTCCACCATTTTCTTTCTTCTTTCTTCGCGGCATACAGAATGATTCATCAAATATTATGTAAATTTTAAATATTAATTTTAAATATTTTTTAAATATTTATATATATATATTCACACGGTATATTTATATATTATAATTTTAATTTTAAATATTATTATAAATTTATCATATGAAAGGAAAGAGGAACGTAAATAGTAACGTAAATAGAACGTAAATAGAACGTAATAGTAGTTTAGAGGATTTCTTGTCTTTCATATAACAAATTTTACAAACTTTAAATTGAATTAAAATATATCTCTTAAATTAGTGATTTGTGGATAAATAAAAAATATATACTCTCGTTTCACAATACGAATTTGTAAAATTTGTTATATGAAAGACAAGAAATCCTCTAAATTATATTATTTATGTAACTATATTTATTTATGTTCTTCTTTCCTTGAAATTTCCTTGAAATCATTCAATTCTGTTTGAAAAATTTTTTGCTATCAAAAAATAGTAACATCTAGTGAATTATTATTTTATAATCCATCTCGAGGATTGCAATTGTGAAAACAAATGTTGTAATTTATTTAAGTGTAAGAAAATTGGCATGTGTCAACGATTAAGTTAATCATTGCAAAGAATTTTTAGAATTGAAAAAGAAAAAGAATTTTGTGTTTAATTGAATAAATTATGTGTCTGTTGCATTAATCGAATGAAGCAGATATCACAGACAACGTTAATTGCGATAATAGTGTATATTTGATGTAAGGATTCCAATTTTGTCATCGTTATTAAGAACATGGTACGATTTCCAATATAGAAATACCTATCATTCAAACGTTCTATCCAATACATCCAGACGTTCATTTACATAAATAATGTACTTTCTTCCACAAATATTACCCCTCTTAAACTATAACCAATTATAACCAGTTATTATCAATTATGAGTTTCACGTTGTCCATTTTCTTTATTAAGTACAGTTTTCGATTATTCTAATTACTTCTATCAACTCCAATATTTTCACACAAATTCAATTTCCAGTTATGAAAGCCAGAATGCAAGAAAAGAATTCTTCCATTCAATTTTCCCAATTTTCAAAACTCTTCATCATCCTTGTAAATGGGTCGACGAAGAAGAAATATGCACATATATACATACATATATATATATATATATATATATATATATATATATATTCACACGGTTGAAAACCGAGACACCTTACAAACGGGATATCCCAGAGGACAGTTCGGGCCAAGGTAAACGAGTTTCAAAGGATCGGGCAAGCAAACGATCGGAAATCGAAGGGACGAAGCTCTTTCAGCCTGCTGCGAACGCTCTCTGAAAGCTCTACTCGCCCTCTGTGACTCGAGTAAAGAAAAAAAAAAAAAATTTTTTTTTTTGAAAGCTGCACCCATCTCTTTGACAGTCTCCTCGATACAGCCTTCGACTTGCCTTCACTTTTCCATCCCTGCCTAGCCAGACTAAAAAGGAGGTAAGCAACTGAAAAAGTTGAAGGTGAGTCCGTCGGTTTAACCGGAACAAGAAGTTCAGAGAGAGAGAGAGAGAAAGAGAGAGAGAGAGACTGTTCGTGAAGTGGTTGGTGAAGAATTTAAGAAGTTCGAGATATCGGTGAAAGCCTAAGGAGGGAAAAGTCGGACATTTTCTCAACTCAAACACATAGATTCGAGTGAGAACTGAAAGCAACGGCTGTAATAAACGATGGACACTATCCGAGAAGCAGGAAACTGAGAGATATCCTTCGTGAACGAATGATATCCCACAGGAAACGAAACTTGACATGGTGTTCTGTTTGGTTAGCCGCGGGGTGTTTCATTGGTTCAGACATTGGGGAAATACTACACTTTGAATCGACTATATCGATAAAGGAAAAGGTAGATTCTCTTGGTAGAGGAGAGATACACAAAATGTCCCATTTTGACTCAGACGGAGAGATATCTTGGAAACTATACTTTACGAAAGAAATATTTGAAAGAAAAATTGTGAAGCGGGATGGATACGTTCAATGATGATCATTTTGTCTTGATATCGAGTCAAAGTCGTACAGTTGTACTAATAAAATTAATTTTTTCTTTTTTATGGAAAATTTGACAGAAATAGAATAAAATTTCACTATAGAAAATTAAATAGCGCCATTGATATTAAATGAAATTATTAAAATCTTCGAACTATAATTTTCTATCTTCTCTTACAATTATAGTCCAATTACATCATTAAATATCCTGTGATATTCTTAACCATTAAATACCATTAAAGTTATAAAACGTAAGAGTTAAATTAATAAATTTCAAGATAAATTGTAATACGAATCTCGAAGAGAAGAGGATAAGAGACAACAACGTTTAATTTAAACGTAAAAAAAAAAAAAGAAAAAAAAAGCAATTGACGGGAAAGGAATACAGCGTATATAAATGGAATGTTGTAAAATTGTTCATCGTCGATCATTTGCCACTTTGATTTTACACGATACCGCTTTCTACTTTTCTGAACTAGATGACAATCGTATACGGTTTCTGTATGTTCACAACCGCTATGAGTTTTGAAACATTGTAATAGGATTCCTCGTTACGACTCGTGTAACATAAAGGACTTACGCGAATACTCACCTGACGTGGAAACAGGGATGAAAAGCTGCCGGATTATCCTGCGGCGAGAACTTTGGTAGAGTGCCGTGAAGGAGGGCAAGACGTACCACCAACAACACACCAAACTGTAAATAAAAAAAAAAGGATCCTTTTTAACGATCTCCCCGTTTATTTCGATTAACGCTCATTTGCTACCCGATTTTTATGTTCAATCATGGCTCTCAAAAATTATGCATATATAACGTTAACGATAAAAATATGCAAGTTAGAATTTCACGAATCAAAATTGCGAATTAAAGTGAAATTAATTCATGAAGATCCAATTTTTTGTTGTTTCGTTTTTTATATGATTTTATAATGAAATAGGAGATAAAATAAAATTTTAGACGTACGAAATATTCAAATTTTAATATTCTGTCGTGTTTTTGTAAAATGGTATTTTATGTTATAAAATTTTTTTATAAAAATATATTGGTAATGAAAATACATAGGTATGGAATATTAAAAGTAGAACAATATTTTTATAATTCTAAACATATACAAAGTACAATCAATGTTCAACGCGATATAAAAATTTTAAAACATATTTATAGAAATGGTATAGGAAATATATATTTAAAATGAAAAGATTATCCTATTTCCTATCATCAAGTGAAATACTTTTTTTAATTTATTCGGTATTTTTGATCTAGCCCCCCCCCACCAACCAGAGTATTCCACAGATTGTTTCTCTAAGATCTGCCGAGTTCTAAAACGCGAATTTTTTACCTGCCGTTTACACGGCTCGAAAGATGAATGAGAATGAAACAAAAGAGAATCCAGATTGCGGAAGAGCCTCTTACTAGCCTTTTCTGGAGGAGGTTCTCGACTTGCGGCTCAATGACTCGCTACACTGCTAGAAGCATTGGAAGCTTTCATTAGCTGGCTTGGAAAACGGAAAACAAGAAGGCCCCGGGTTAAAAATCTCACCCTATCCGAATTAATCGTATACTGAATATACCTCTTCGTTCCAAGAATAATGATGATTTCGTTAGATTTCTACGTGGTAAATTATTTTAGAATATTTAGCATTGAAAATTTCAAGTATTTATTAGAGAACCGGAATAATCTTACGTGAAGAGACAAAGTAAAATGCAATGTTAAGAAAATGTAGAGTAAACTTTTTCCATTTAAAGTTCCGTTTCCGATAATCAAGCTTGAAATCTTGTCAAGTACACCGGTTTGTTTCTGGAGATGCAACCCATTCACCAAATTATTCCTTATACTAAAAATTGTAGAACTTCAAGGAGAAATGTACGAAGCTCTACGGCATCTACGAGGAGAGAGAATATACAGAGAAACAATTTGATTCAACTTTTATTTTTATTTATTTTTCAAAACTATAAGCTCGACCCATTCGCATTCGTAACGTTTCACACCGATCTTCCGTTCTAACAATACCGATAAACCGTAGAAGATAACGTATGCGGTGTAAAACTAGAGTCGTGTAGGAGAACGAGAAACGTAGAGGTTCGATGGCATTTCTGTCACGTCTGTGGGTGCCAGTCCACCTATCCCTGGCCCTATCCTCCTCGAGAGTAGAAATCACTCTTTATACGCCTTACTTGGAACACGTAGACCGCCATCAACCCTTTCTCTTTCCGTCCCCGCCATAAATTCCTCTACGTTCTTCTTGGACAGATGGAAAAACGAGTGGATCCTAGGAGGGTTTTTCAACAAGCGTGGACAATGTCTGCCAATCCAAGGTATTCATATTCTTCTTCGATCGTCGTACATGTACGAGCACTCGAAACACGTTCCATCTCGATGTCGAACGGCTCTCTTCCCTCGCTAGACACCGAGATCTTCTTTCCTCGACAGAGAGGGAAAAATCGTGTTATGTCGCTGACCCACGAGCAACAGAAGACAAAAATCCAATTTTGGTAAATATCCAAAGCACGAGGAACGTCATCGACGGGGGAGGAGATGGAATTCCCTTTTGTTAGTCTTTCGAGGAATACTTGGGATGGTATTATAATAGCGCCTTCTGCACGCTCGAAAATATATTTCTCTCGGGGGATCATCGTTATTCTAGGATTCGTGTTGTTTATGCATACATTTTTATCGTGGGATTGAAGAAATAAAAAATTGGTGAGGAGAGGATAAGTTGGAAAATTTGAGATGGGATAGTTGTTTTATTTATAATAATTTTGAAAGTTAAATGGACTGGATTGCAATAATCATATTGCAATAATAAATGCATATGTTGTTTATGCATACATTTTTGTTGTGGGATTGAAGAAATAAAAAATTGGTGAGGAGAGGATAAGTTGGAAAATTTGAGATGGGATAGTTGTTTTATTTATAATAATTTTGAAAGTTAAATGGACTGGATTGCAATAAAGCTAATCTTGGAATTACAAATCATAGTTACTTGTTTAATGTTATAAAAAGAAATATGAAAAGAAAACAGGGAGATATATGTTTATGTTATGTTATTATGAGTTTGAATCATCTTGTAGATATTTGCGTGTACTTGAATCGACTATTTACGAAATCATTGCTCTGTGTTTATGAATCCTGTCCTAACAATAACATTTCAAAAAACTTTATCATAGAAAGACATCCAATATTAAATATTTACGTTCATTCATATGAAAATAACATTAAATTAGATTATGTTAAATGAATATGTATAATACTGAAACTAAGATAAAATTGATTCTATCTTATCTTATGAAATAGAGTAAACTATTAGTCATCGCGAGATTCCAAGGAAGAAATACAGAATTTAAGAGAATTCATTAAAGAATCTAATTATGTATTGTAATGTAGAAATGCATTATCGCCTATTGTGCATACCAGGGATCTGTTAATCAAACATTTCACTTGTCAGCAAACGAAGACGGTTGATTCAATGGGATTGAATGGAATTATAATTACAACCTACGGATAATTCAAAGCAGAGAGTTAAGATTTAAGCGGTAAACCAATCGACTAATAATAGACGTAGTGATGTAGAACCGGTCAACAATCTGCGTATGCCCAATTCATTCGCTTATCGATTACGATTGTTACTACTCCAGGGAATCGTGGCGTACAATCCATGGTAACCGGAAGTGAACAGTGTTTCAACATGCACATTCATCGATACATCGATAATTACTGATGAATTTGATGATGATGATTGTCAAAGCAATTTCTTTTTTTTTTTTCAAAATAAATCATACGATATCTAATAATTTTAGAAATTTAAAAAATTATCGCGTTAAACGATAATAATTTAAAGAACGTTTTGTTTAATTTAAACTAAAGATCGTTATTATTATTTTAAAATATCAATAATATTTTCCTACTTTCCATCAAAATCCATCATCTTTCGAGTGTTTTTCTATCCACTTGAATTTTTTTTTTTTTTACCTCTCTTCAATGTACATTTAAAACAATGTATTAAATTTTCCATACAAGGATTCAAGAACCCTAGAAAATTTCCACGAGAGTGGTTTTCCAGAATAATATATCGTTTCCGGAATCACCGTACAACACTATAACGCGAAATTCACCGAGGTCCACCGTTCAAGCCTCAACAAATTCAACGCTCTTGAAATTCAGTGATTCCCTGAGAGGGGAGAAGAACGTCGAGTAATCTCATCGGGGCGAGCATGCCTTAGGTGGAACGAGAAGGATGGAAAATCGGTTAAGGATATACAGGAGGGCCAGGGTTTCCTCCACGTAAATTAGCATAACTTGGCTTCACGTTTGGCGGAAGTACATTCTTCGATTTCTCGCCCTCCAATATTTTATATTATTCTTGATAGGGAGAGGAGGGGGAGAGAGAGAGAGAAAGAGAGAAAAGTGGGGGAAAAAATACAAAAGCTGTGGTTAGATTAAAAATAAAATCGAGCTCTCGTTTGTTATTTATACGGTTAATAATAATTCAATGTGGAAACATTAAATTAATTAAATCGATGATTCGTTAATAAAGTTTACTTCCTATTGATGACTCCACTGGATTCATTGCATTCGATATAAATGCGTAAAATTATTTCTTCGTTGGGAATTTCAATTCCCAAGTCTCCATCGACTCCAACTGGTGCATAGTTCTTTCGCGGCTGATTACTTCATCGTATTAATATCGTATAATTCATTTTCAAACGAAGGGAAAATGAATTAATGTTCCCGAACGATGGGATACAATGTCAAAGTTTCGTTCTTTTGACGTGTCCAAAACCATACTGATTTTAAACACTGAAACACTGTAAAATTGGTTTTTTAAATTATAAGTAATTTTAATTCGAAATAAAATAATTTAATCACAAATATGAAACACAAATACACAAAGTAAAAACAATTATTTCAATCGAGTCACGTTATTTAAGATCTTAATATAGAAACATTTTTTCTTTTTTAAATTATAAGAACAGATAAATCAGTTACCTCTATTTACTAATCGCTCGAGAAAACACACAGAATCGATTTTACAAAGAAGCAACCCCGAATTCAATATCTATAAATCTTCACGTTCATAACCACCCTCGTTCCGTATCGGCCCAATCTCGTATTTCATTTCAAATCCTCGTGAGCCACGATTGCTTTACATCGTAGCCTAAGCAGTTTCCGTGGGGGGTGGTCGGCCAACACGAGAATTCGAGGGAAGCTGAGTTTATCTTACGCGATCGTAAAAGTGAACTCTCGACGGCGGAAATGTATCTGCGTTAACGATCGTTAAACTTGCTTAAGCCACGAGAATTATGCTGGAAGCATCGCCCGTCCTACGATAAAAAAAAAAAAAAAAAAAAAAAAACTGGAGATTTCGGTCGTTGAGAATTAACAACGCGGATCCGAGGCCGTTCGCAAAGCACAACGAGACAGAGAAAATTTCGAGTCTCGTTCCCGGTCACGATCGCGTGTTTTCGCCATTAAATGAGGGGAAAAGGCGGCTTCGCAATTACACGACAATGACATTGCATTTTGATCGGTTTTATATATTTCTAACAAGTTGAATGCGGATGCTTGTGTAAAAATTTGAATTGTACGGAGATCTATAGGAAAGAGTAAATATAAAAAAAAAAAAATATCCAAAGTATAATAGGCATTGTGATATTTAAAGAATGGAATAGAACTCTATGCCCCGTTCCTTCGATTCGGATTCATGAAAATTTGATTTCGCATAGAGAAGGTACGCAGACTATTAATGAGGAATAATGTACTGATCATATTTTTTATATCTTTTATGACGTGTATTCATGCAATCTTGATAATGTGAATGAGAACGCTTTGATAATTTGATATAGTGATAATAAATTGAAACTATATTTCATATCACGATGATTATATTTTAACGTGACATGTGATTTTTATTAATTAAAAATTAGCACAGAAATAATAATATTATTAAAAGTATAGAAATATACGTATAATAAATGTTACAAAAGTATTACTTAAACATTGTATAATTAATAAAAATAATTAATAAAATTCAAATTTGGTTTCTCTCTTTTCAAGCAAAAGTATAGCAAGAATCAAATTCTTCGAATTTTTCAGAAAAGAAGTTGAAAGAACAATTATACAAAGTTTCGTTAAAATCATCTCGTGCATCATTCAATCAATATTGCCTCGTCAATTCTCGCAGAATACACATCCAACTAATTACCAAAGACAGAACTTGTGTCGATTTACCATCCCGAATCGACGGTACAGCCTCGAGGGCCGTTGCAAGCCGGAAACAAAGCGAGAAGCGCGAATGCTCGGAACAATATTCCATCGTTCCCGATCGAGAGTAACGAAGGAACTTCCGTGAATTTTCCAACCATCCCCGCTCAAACAAAGCCGTATGTTCGCATTATATATCTTACGTTCTCGTGCGCACAATGAATGGATTTACGAACTGTACGATCGTGTAAACGACCTTCGCGATCATTCCATCTCGAACAAATTCATTAGTAAATATTTCCACCCCCAATTCGAATCTTCTCGTTGATAATTGTGCGATTGCCAATCGTGATTGTATAAAAATCATTTTTACTATTCTCCAATTGAAAGAAAGTAAACTTAACAATATGTACTTAATCGGTAAATATTTCCACCCCCAATTCGAATTCTCTCGTTGATAATTGTGCGATTGCCAATCGTGATTGTATAAAAATCATTTTTACTATTCTTTAATTACTTTTAATTTTCATTACAAATTGAAAGAAAGTAAAGTTAACAATATGTACTTAATCGATAAATATTCCCATCCCCAATTCGAATTCTCTCGTTGAAAATTGTGCAATTGCCAAAAATCATTTTTACCATTTTTATTATTCTCCAATTACTTTTAATTTTCATTACAAATTGAAAGAAAGTAAACTTAATAATATATATAAATTCGTGAGCAATTTATGCAATATAAAATTGCTCAACTTCTGTCCAATTAAATTAAACATGTCATTGTTTCAATTTTATTATCGACTGCCTGCTCCTGACATGGTCAAAAATTTTCTGCCCAAGGCGGGATAAATGGATGGACAATGGATGGAATGCTTAGACTCTCCAAGATCTTATTATTCCTTTTTCTGTCCAAGATATCGAATGTGGACATTGTTGGTAACACGATAACGACGGTAGGCATCGGGTGAAACACGCTTTTCTCTCTTTCTCCCTCTCTCCAGAAGATCATGCGGGGCTTCCACGCACGAGTGACCGCGTGTGACACGTTAAGAGGATTCGATTTTGTTACTGTGGTATTTCTGAGAGGGGCTCGTTCTCCTTTTCTTCTCTCTTATTGTCGTCGGACAGGCTAGTTGACTTGTTCGAACGATACTTATGAAATTTGATTTGTATAATTGAGTTAAGGTAGACGAAAGTGACCGTCAAGGATTATGGGCTTTCTGCGTTGTTACGCCTGTGACAATTATTCGATTCGAACTTTTATTTTTTTTTTTATTAATAACAAAAGGAAATATAGAGGAAATATAAGGGAATTTTTCAAATTCTTTCGAATTCAAATTATTTTAATTTCGGTATGCCGTAGATATATTATTAAACTCACCGAAAAAAGTAGGGCGGCAGCCCGACGAGAAAAGTGTCTCGAGTCGTCGTTCCATCTTGCCTCGAAAATAGATCTGAAACACGAAGAAGCGAAAGGTTCAATGCCTTTTTTATCGTTCGTTCAAAGATTAAAACAATCGAGGCGTCCCCCCTTGAATGGCCATTAAAAATCAAATGTTAATAATCAAACGAACGACTCTCAAATAACCTTTCTCTCCACGAGTGGAGGGAATCAATCGTTTATCCAAAAAATTCGATTAGCTCGCGAATCGATCCAGCCGTGATTCGACGGTGCTCGCAGAGACGCGGTTATTCAAATATTTAAGCCTTACGGGCCCCGCGTAATCCAATGTAAACATTTAATCCGGTGTTTTACGACAGAGCATCGTCTTTGTCCAGATAGCCAGATCCCCTCCCCCCTCCATTAATGCAAATCTTCCGCGCGTAAATCCCTATTTTCCACGCGTATGCAAAGAAGGGTGGCGGCCACGTTCGTATTTCACGTTTCACGCTACATATGGCGTCGCGTGATTTTATATTTCATTTCGAAACGCGTTATTTTATTCCGCGTGGCCGGAATTCCGGCGTTCCTCCAATTCCTCCCCCCGGTTTTAATAGGTTTTGGGCGGGCGTGGAGACGGTTTACGATAGTCGGCCGATCGCGCCCCGTTTGCCACCGCGAAAATAATGATCCTGATTGTTTCAAATGCCCGAAGAAAATAATGAAAATTGTGTGAAAATAGTGAAAATTAATGCGAATGATAATGTTTATCGCGTACGCGTGATTTTATTATATTTTGTTTAAATCATTTGAATCAAGGGATAGCGGTTGAAAAGATGACGAATTATTAAGATTATCAAGTTATCGCGAAGAACAAACAGTTTTTTAAAATTGAATAACTTTTTATCTGTAATTATATAATGAAAATTTAATTACGTAGCTTTTATAGATCTGAGAATTGTACGTGAATTGTACATTAATTTTCTAAGATTACAACGATATTCGTGTTTAAAGTTTCAAGACACATATTATGATCGAACATTAATAATTATTACTTCATACAATAATAATTTTACTAAAAATACAATTAAAAATTCGCAATTCGAAAAGCACGAAACATTTATAGTAAAAAACATTTATAGTAAATAAATAAATAGAATAATCTATTTGCGCAACAAACTGAAATAAAGTTTATCGCGATAAATTTTTGTTGCGATATTAAATCGATGCTAGCTTTATTGCTATGGTGTAATTCACCCTTGTCGATTCGATGGTGTTAATAAAAAAAAAAAAAAAGAAAGAAATTAAAGGGTGAGAGAGGAAAAAGGTCGCGTAAAATCGCGCAATCTACGAGCCAAGGACACGGTGTTACTTCTTATTTCAGGATTTATCGGCACGAGCTACGTGCCACGTTTCGAAACTGTTCCACGGTCGCGCGCCTTAAACGCTTACCTCTTGATTGAATGCCAGGAGCGACAGAGGTCGTAAAGAAGGTTTAGAAGCAAAACAGTAATGCCTGTTTCCTTGGCAAGCATTGACAGCGCTCCTAGGCACACGCTGCTCCATACATAAGCCGTCGGCTGCCTGGAACAAGAAACAAGAAAAATTTGAAGCATTTAGAGAATCTGATCGTTAAGAATTAAGAATCGTTTAATTGGTTGTTGCACAGGGACAATTAAAAAGGTTTTTAGTGCAGATTTAATTGGCACGACCTGTTTTGTGAATTATATCGATTGTTGATATCGGTTTTATTTTTTTTTCTACTTAATTGTAAGCAAATGATTATAAAATATTGTTGCAAATGATTTACGAACTGCGTATTTCTGCGAGATCCAATTAAATTTATTGATACAATCGTTATAATCATCAGATACTAATTATCAAGACGTTAATTATTAAGAACATTTCCTTTGTTTTTAACATGACAGCGTAGTCCGATAGCTGAGTATACACATAATATATAACAAAGAAAACTTATGTACAAGAGGATTTGTGTCTCGCTAGGGCAAACTTTGTTTGGGTCGTGGCAGTAGACTAAGCTTCTTCTTACATATTTTGTCTTTTGGTATACTTTATGCGGATAAAACGACATTTCCAGCATGGCTACAAACAATTTAAAACTGGAGGTATTCTAATAATATTTGAATAAATGAATCTAACGAGGATTAAATATTTAAATCATTACACATACACAGGTATCATTTTATTTTTATCTTTGTAAAATTTAGAAAAAAAAATATTCTTAAATTTATCTCATATTTTAGTATTCTTTTACTTTATTTAATGCTAGAATTTTATCGTTGAATAAATTTTTGGATTGTAATATATTATGTGTATTATTTCAACTGACATAGTCTCCATAGAAAAATGGAGAACCATTCTTTTGGTGACATATATACATTGTTCTAGGTGTTAAACGAGCAGTAACTTCAGAATACTGCTGTATCATCTCTATGTAGCTATATGAAGCAAGAAACAGGAAAAAATTGCTACAATTCTTTTAACTAAAAAAACAAAAATTGTACTTTGAATATTCTTATACAAAAACAAAAATATTTTTTATAAAAAAAGCCTATTGAAGATCTTATTCGTTATTATTCGTGATAATTTGATTTGAGTTTCTAGTTTTGATTAATCCAGTTTTTTTTTACTTATTTTACTTATTTGCTATATTTTGCTTAAAAGCAATGAATATTTTATTATTCCTTTAGCAATGCAAAATAATTATATAAAAATAAAAATAATATGTATCAATCATTATGTTTCAAATGTTTAAAATATTACTGTACATATAAATTTGTTTGTTAAATTAAATTATTATTCACTATTTCCCTATTATGCATATTTTCTTAAATTTTCGAATTTACAATTATAATATAATATTAGCTTTTAATTCTTCTTTATTATCCTTAGAGTACTTCAGATTTAATAAAACCACATAAAAGAAAATTCAGCAATATTAAATCTATCTCTTATTTTTTAACAATTTTAATAATTAATATAACAAAAAATAACTCATTATATCGTAACAAGATTGTAATCACAATGATAATGAATAAATGAGTGATAACGAATAAACAAGTAAAATCCATACGAAGATAATTTATATCCAATTATATCCAACTAATATCTTTTCATATTAAACGTAAAATTAAATTCTATGATTAAATTTGATTCTATTGTTAGAAAATTTATTTATTATTCCAAGATCAAATCTCAGTTTTAAATAAAATTATCGTTGAAATTAAAAGATCGCTTGCGGAGTTATTCTCTGAGCAAAGTTTAACGAGAATCATTATACCGTATAATAAACTTGACCCATCTTTGTATCACACTATCGCGAATAATTATATCCATTCTTCTCGCGATACAGTTAAGTCGCATTGTGTATTATATCGAACAATCATGGAAAATAGTTTAAATATTTAAAGAGAAGAAAATTACAGAAACGTTTTCGCAGTGCACAATGGATTAATGAAATTCCAGTGAGGCTGCCCACGTTAAATTTTAATTCGAATTCACACCGTTCATCGATACTTTCGCGAAATTTATAATATATAATAAAATTTCAATTCTCTGTGAAACTCGTTTGACAAATTCTTAAGGAATTTTTAAAACGTTTGGAAAAATTTAATCCGCCTGTTTTCACTGAAGGTAATTCGAATTTAAATCACATTTTTTACACGAATGAATTCGAAATAGAAGAACGTTGAATAGGAAAAATATCGAAATTAAAGATCGTTTGAAAGTATAAAGAAAAATATGACAGTAGGAAAATATAACTTATAGAGAATAAACATTGTTTTAAATATATGTGTATGGAAATTCCAATAATTTTAACAAATTTAAAGTTAATACAGAGAACAGTTAAAATTTCACAAGTTACCTGTAAAAGTAATTTCTTTTGGAATGAAAATTTGAAATTCTGATTCTGTTGATTGAACATGAAATTGTGAAAGAGAAATTTATAAGTTAAAACTTATATTTTTCACAAATGATATTAATAGATTGTGGATTTTTATGAGAAATACATATTTTTTTCATAAATAAAAAATATCTTTTGATTTCTATTAAATTGGTATGACAATTGAATATTATAAACAAATTTAATTGTTAGTTTAATAAGTTATATCTAAATAAAGCTTATAATATTGAAAGTTTTTACATATCTATCTATTTTGATTGCATAAATATCGTAGTCTAATTATGTGTTCAAATATGCAATAAATATATAGATAATGGAACAAGTGAAATTCTCAAAGATATCAAATATTGCTATTCGTATCAAGAACTTCGAAATGATCAATTATTCTAAAGAAACGAGATGAATGTTTCCTCTAAAAATGGAAGAACCTTTCGATCTTGCTCCAACAGCTAACTAGAGGGATGTTTCAACTTGCTCGAGGTAAATTGTTATTTAAAAACTTTGTAACTTGTCATTTTAACGTGGATAATTTCCTTTCAAGCCAGAGAAAAGTTAAAGATATATCGACGATAACAATGGCATAAAGAAACTCTTGATCGTTCTTTTGTTTCTTCGATTTCTCTTTCTTTCTTTTCCTATCGTGCCCGAGAAACTAGAGTTTTACAAAAACTGTTCAAACTTCTTGAAATTAAATTAAATTAGAATATCTTTGAAGCTCGGCATCGATGTGGAAACTTTGAAAAAGTCGAATATCAAACCAGTGAAACGTTCTGAACGGATGCGAAAGATAATTTTATTTTTAACGGCACAGAAAAGTGAAGAACAACAAAGAAACAACAAAGAAACAACAAAGAGAGAACAAAGAAAGGATATCGATGGTAGCAATCACGAGTTCGAGAACTTTGAAAATATATATATTGTAAAACGAAATTAGAATTCTCGAAATATAAATTAGGTATTTCTTACGAAATAATCAATATCAAGCTATTTATATAAATATATCATATTTCATGACTTTTCATTCGAATCTGTTATACAATACTGAATTTTTTATGTTGAATTTTTATTTAAATTTAATTTAAATTTCACTCTTTCGAATAATTGTAAAACGAGAAATCGAAAATATATATTTTTGCGCTTTAAATGGAAATTCTATTCAAAAAAATATTGGAACAACATTTGTAATTTTAATTTTTAATTCGATAATTCTTTCCTCTTTTATAGCAAAATTTATTATATTTTTTTTTTTGTGATTAACGAAGAGAGAAATAATTAAAATATCGTAAGAATTTCTTTCTTCTCAACATCGTTAAATATTTTTTTAATTATCTCATAATAAGTATAACTAAATGAAATTAGATTTCTTTATATTCAGAAAAATTATTTATTGTTATTCGTGCAATTATTCTTCCGACCCGACGATATAAAGTTTTCCTTTTGAAATAATATAGAAATAACAATTTCAGAGACAAAAGTAACGAATAAACATATTTCCAATTAATGAATAAAAGAAAAGTAATTGTGAAAACAGCATAATTTCTTCTAACGAAAAACAAATCGAAGAAAACAAATTATACAGAATAATTTATACATTCTGATTGAAATATCCGTCAACAATTCAAATCTATTTTGTCAAATAACTCGTGAAGGTATTCGTCGAAAATTTAAAATTATCCAATTAGATTTCTTATCTCCAGTTGCAGCCTAGATGGCGCCGTATTCGAAGGATGGGATGGAATAGGAAGGCAAAAGCGGCAACTATGAGTAAAAAGAGGGAGGACGTCCAGAGCAGAGCGACGCGGCATTTCTTACAATTTACATCAAAGCTCCGTAAGTAAGATTAATGAACGGGTGTCGTAACGAGGCTGGGTGTCGAGTTCCGAGGGTGAGGGCAAAAACAGGCAGCCGTATGCTCGCGGAAGATGGAGGATTACGCGCAGAAATTATTACTTATTGGATATTCAGCCGGCAATTACCACGGAGAAAGGAAAAAGAAGTCGAATCGGAAAAAGAGCCACCGTTTCGTGAATTGTAAGTCCACATTTCCAACAAAAAGATGAACGACCGAGGATGAGATAAAGGTTCAACCAGGGAAAAGGTCGTTGATCCTATGATTTATCGTGTTCAACAATAGATTCATCACAATAGATGCATTATAATGAATGCAACTGTTCGTACTTGGAATGGAAGATTTCTTTATATAACCCGTTTGATTGATGGAATGCTTAATTGTGAATTGTGCTTATTTAAAAGTTCTCGAACTTTAAATATTTGTATCAAGAGTTTTCTAATTGTGCAAACGTCAAATTGAAAAATTTTATCTAACAATAAAATAATCTTTATTATTCTGAGATGATTTATATATAAATATGTGAGAAACAAATGTACTGACGTACCATGATATTTTTTTCTTATTATTTATATTCACGAAATAATTTATTAACGTAATAATTTGATTAATAATTTGAAACAAGATTCGATTTCGTTTTATTGAGGTTGCAATACATTAAATTATTGTAACAAGACTTGTTCTCGAATTGAATAAAAAGAGACAAAAATAAATTGAAATTGGAATACATTAAATATTCATAATAATATACATTTATACATCCTTTGGAAGTTATCTGGAAATTCTGCAAAATATTCAAGAATTTAAATATAGCGAAGTTAATTTAATATATAATTTATTTTATTTAAAAATAACTATTATTGTTCTCATACGAAATTTTAAATTTTTTATCACAGAATGAAGAACAATTAATATAACGGTATCCAATAAATAAAATATAACGGCAATTTAAATATAATAATAATAAATATAAAGGAAGAATTTTGGGGGAAAATTAAAATATATACAACAAACAGTTACATCGAATTTACCACTTAATAAACGAATTTTTCACTTAAGAATCCAATTAATATATTAAATAAATATAATTAAAAGAGTCAATTCTTAAAAGATTTCGATAAAACAATCGAAACGAGTCATTGAGTAGAAGAATGCGATTGATGTAAATCGTGATCCATTTAATTTCCGGATAAGTATGCAGCGAAAAAGGGAGATCCGTTTCGAGATCCTCGTCGAGTTTAAAGGGTGGCAATTAACGCGAATAAGTATCGTGGCTGAAAGGATAGTTAAACTAAAGCGGAAAATGGGAAAAGGGGGCGAATGGATTTCTTCGATTCCGAGACAACCGCTTTATCTTGCATCCAGCTGTCAATCGATCGACGTTACGATGGCTTTACTTTTCTTTTTGAATGTGCTTCGAATTGTTGCTCCAAGTTCGAAACGTTTGACAGCTTGAAACGTCCTCCACAGATAGAAACGTAACGTTTTTGAAATGATTTGAACAGCTTCGAATTGCATTCTACTTGGAGAAATTAAGTTTAAGTAAGTTGACAAAATGGACTCGCTGTTTTAACATTATATTGTTAACAAATATTCGAGATTCGAGAAATTGAGATGAAATTAACGATTTGTTAGTTCGAGTATAGTATTATCAAGATTTATTTAGAAAAGTGAAAAAGGAAAATAAAAAAAAATAAAATGTTTAAATATTGTTGTTTATTATATAACTTTACATGAATTGAAACTTAGGATTTACAATAATCATTAATCAGTGATGATTATATATATTGGAATATAAAATTGAAAGTTGGCATTGATTTAAATGAAAAATGTATGCAATTATTTTATAATTTCCTCTTTCTCCTCCCATCTTTAATTCTAGATGAAACCTAGCCGAAATTGCGTTAATTCCTACAATTGAAATCGTTAAAACGAGTTATACAAAGCAAATCACATTTGTGAAGAGGGAAAAATGTTCCACGCAACATATATAATATTTGATATAATCTCTGTCACACGTAAAAAGAGAATATACACATTCCCTTTTTATAAAAGTTCAAAAAGCTTTTCCATCAGAATTCATCTTCAACGCCATTTCCCCTAATACGCCATGAACGACTAATTACGACTTTTTGAATTCTTGAAAGAAAAAAAAGGGGCCGTTATCCGAACGAAAACTGAAAGATCTAAGGATCCAGCGCGAGCAGGGTAATGTTCCCTCTAACGGTCGAATACGACTTCGGTAATTCGACGAACGATGTCACTGATTTCGAACAATGAACGTTTGTTCTCAAACGTTTCTCTACCGCTTTCTCTCCCCCCTCTCTTTCCCTCTCTCTCTCTCTCTTCCTTCCTCAAAACAAATATTCATTTGTGAGATTCATTACCTAAAAGGGTTGACACACTGACCCGATTCTACGGCTATTTAAACGGACCACCACCAGGTTTCCCTCGTCGTTTACGAGCTATCCTCCTTCGTTTTTCTCGATATACCGAGTATTTTACACAACTCGCACCGCTATCTCGATATTTGTTTCTCTTTTTTCTCTCCCGTCGAGAAGAGAGAGAGAGAGAGAGAGAAAAAAAACGCGCTCGAGAGAGTCTGCCGGTTGATATCGATTGCGATGGGAGGGGTTGATTTTCCCTCATTTCAAACAGACCCCTGTTGGCTCGCGAGAAGGTTCAAGTTTAATTACACCACCGTCCCGTGTGGAAATTAATTTCAACGAAACGCTGTTACTTTCGTTAGAATTACGTTCTCACGGTGGAGGTCTCGATTCGAAAAATCGATCGTAACGCGGCTTTGGATAAAAAAGTTTAATGGATTTTGTCGATTTTTCAAATTGTGATGTATTTTATTGCTTATAAGCCTGTTATCGCTATATTTTATTACGCATAAAAGCAATTAATATCATGATGCTTATACTGGTATAGAAAGTATAAAGGAAAATCCATTAATCTTTCAGTGCATAGTTTTCAACGCGTTAAAATGAAAAGAAAATAATCGAGACGATAACAGAGAACGATTTATTAACTTATCAAAGATAATTAATGAAATTATTTATTTCGAATCTACATTTTCCATCGTTGGATTGTAAAAATCTTTTGAAAATATTTTTTTATTAAAAGAATCTCTTTGTTCCTTTTTCAAGCTGCATTAAAATATTTGAAATTCCATGTATCATCTCTCTTTAAAGTAAAATTGAAAAGTTCTACGTTCTATTTTAAAGATTTAGAGACAAACTTAGAAAACTAACTTACAATATTTATCCAACCAAAAAGGCACAAAGGAAATGAGAAAACTTTTCAATATTCTCGAATATTTCAAAATATTAAATAAAATTAAAATATTAAAATAAAATATTTTAACTGCTAAGGAAGTCCACTTCCTATTATCCGTCTTATAAAAAGAGAACCAAAAAAAAAAAAAAAAAAAAAAAGAAAAAGAAGCACAGAATAATAAGCTTAAAAAACTTCAAAGAAGCACATTAATATGGCAGAGGATGTCAATCCTACGAGTCAAACCACTCCCCTTCAAAGACCGTTCCCCGTTTCAGTTAGCCGTTACATCGCTTACCATGCATAAGTCCGGAATCCTCTTAGAGGGACGATAAAAAGATTTTCGTGGTAAGTTCGCGGGATCGTGGCCGTAAGTACTTTATATTTTCACGTTTAAGGATCGATATAAACGAGCGAGGGGCGAAATATAGGGGAAAAAATTCGAGACGAAGCCATCGTGAGCTGGAACCATTGCTTTCCATTGCTTTAGACTAGATTAGTTTAATTTATAATTTGGCCATGAGAATGAATGGGCTGCTGTTTTGACGTCGACGTGCAAGTGTATGCATAGTTACCAAAACGGTACTACGATGGAATTACGAGTGTATCATGCCTCTGATACACTTATCTCATTAAATTTCTTGCAACTTCGATAAAGAGAATGAAAGGGATAAAATAAGGAATGGATTTGTTACTCTTTTTCAAGATCTTTTATTGATTTTTGTGAAAGATATGATGGCAAGTAAAAATATTTGAATATTTTACAAAAGATTATCTAATTTGAATGTAATTATACATATATATGTAGTATAATTTATTTTTTTATTTTTTTCACTCTTTTAGGAGAGTCAATCTTCAAGTTTTAAATACAATTTAGATTGATAGATTATTATTTTGTTTTATTTATATTTATAATTATTTTGAGAGTTTTTAAGATAAAAATTAAGTATTTATATATATATAATATTGTATAGTGAATGTATAGAGTGATATAGAATATCTAAAGCATAAAATGATCTTTTTAATAATAGTATAATATATATTTTTGAAAATAATAATATCTTATTTCCCATATCATTCATTTTATTTAATCATATTGTGATCATTGGCAACTCTCATTATTATATTTTTTTGCATTGTTTCATTATTTATTCAAAATTTTATTATTGTATTAAAATTTGTGTCACCTGTGTTAAATCTAATCATCTTGTATCCATTCTTTAAATTACCAATGATATTCTTTTCGTTTACAATAATGAATAAGTAAAAGGAAATAATAATAATGAAGAGAATGCACGAGAAATGATAAAATCTAGGTCAGCATTATTGCTTCGTGTTAAATAATCGTTTTAGAATAAAATTCCACTCACCCATGATAAGCTAGAAAGGACAACAAGAAGAAGATGCACGCGAGTACGTCTGCTCGTCCTACGATCCCAGTTACCTGAAACACGAACGAAATATCGTAATGAAGATCTGGCAGAATGCATATATTATGATGATGAACAATATATATCTTATACAAAAGTAATATAATAATATAAATATAATATATGTATATAATAATTTATTTATATTCCTAAAAAATATTAGCATGTTTGATAAAATGGAAAAAGAATAAAAATAATTAGCCATATTTTGTATTCATTAAATTGAGACACTTGTTTAATTTATTATCGTGAAAATTATTTATAGAAATAAATTATACATTTCACGTGAAATATGATGAAATATTTTTACGCTGGAGACTTATAACAGATATTATTTTAATAACGATATTGTGTCACTAAAATTCGTATTGAAATCGAGATAATATCGAAATCAATATATATATATTGTGAAAATTAAAATAATTAACAACATCTCTTCATTCATTGGATATAATTTTTCTGAAAATTTATAATTTGTACTTTATTAATTACGCATATATATTATATTATATATACTATTTATCGTAACTTGTAACCTAATATATAATTTTATTCGATATTTATTCTGCTTAATTTTTAAATTTCTAGCAAAATTCATAATATTAAACGTATGAGAAACATATTTACAATAGCTACTATAAGGATTTTTATTTTGTTTATATTTATACTCCATTTTATTCATATGCTAATATTTTCTTATCGTTTGCGTCTCTTCGTCACGCGATGGAATTGTGATCAACTCACGATAACATATTCCATTTGTTTACAGTTCACGATTTATATTGTGCACAATTTTATTCATCGTCAACGTAAAATTTTACGTAGTATATTATTGATACTAATAATAATCCTTCATCAGACACAATCTATTATTATTAGAACAGCTTTCAAAATCCATCGATCTTTTGTTCATCGAGATCAATAAATCAAAATATAAAATTTGAATTTTCAATTACTAATTTCTAAATCGATTTATCGTTCGACAGATGACATCAATATATATGGAACGATCTTCTCACGTGTTTGATTAATTTAAAAGATTATATGGAAGTAATAAAATTTCGAGAAGCAAAGTATTACAAAAAGAATATCCAAACAAGAGAGGGGATCCTGTCTTGGGATAAAATTGGATTTAACGACGTAAAATAGAGAAGACCACGCTGGAAAACGAAAGTTCAAAAGAGGATCTCTTTCACGGTGCAAACGATGACGAGCCATGTGAGCCAAAGAAGCGAACAAATTGAAAGAGAAGAGGTGGCTGACAGTTATTGACAGCTACCACTGAATAACTGAGATTCTCGAAGAATGTCTTGGAAAGTTCCAAGAAAAGGTCCAAGATTCTCGATGATCGTCTGTACGTGTCACAGGACCATTGTCCTTCTTTCTTCCATTTCTATGTTCTTTCTTTTTTTATTCTGATCTATTCGCGAAAAGCAATTGTATTTTAGAATCAACGTTTGATAATTTGATTCCAAGCATGGATTCAAGGTATAGTTCGAAATGAGAAAGTCAAAATTTAATTTGATTAAACGAATCATAAGTATAATAATATTTAAAAAATCCATCAGTAGAATTATTAATTTAGATGAAACAGTTTATACTTTATATAAAATACTTAGACTTTAGTCATCCATTATTTTAAAAAATATTTATCAAGTAAAATTATATATGAAAGAAATGATAAAAATTCGAGGATTTCACATACTTAAAGAGTATAAAAGAGAAATAAATTGTTCTACGTATAATCCATTATGATTCATATGCCCATAAATTTTCATTAAAATCGGATTTTTCGAGATACGTGTATTTCCTTGTAAAATAAAAGTATGAAGAATTCTGTGATCGATTATATGTACTTTTTGTAAAAGATTCTCAAAGTAGTATTTATGACCGTGTGTATGTTACTGTACATTGTTGTATATGTTATTAATCTTGATAGTCAAAAATGTTGCTGGATATAAAAAATGTATGGACCATGGTATATTTAGATAAAAATACAATTTGAATAGTTATCACACAAATCCATTAAAATATTCGGATACTTTATGAACAATAATGTACATTCTTTAAATAAAAACGTAGAAAAATTATCACAGTTTTCGAGTAATACTCTACATATCTCAAAATATTTTTTAATATGTTTTAATATTTTTTAAGCAATACAATAAATAACACGAATTAATTCTGTTTAAAAGAACAATGTAGGAATTTTATATTTGAACCTTTTATATCATATTTCGACTTAAGCAATAAATTGAACAAAAGTATCGTCTTGCATCTTTTTATTTGACTATATTGATTTCTTATCGATGATGTAGTATTCTCGTTTTCAAGAAATGATTAACGTTTGTCTGCGAAATTTCGAAGTTTCTCCGATGCCATTAGATTTTCATCATTATTAATTGTCCTGTATAGCAATAAATTATGTCATCTTTAATAAAGCATCTTGCTACAGACGCTCGATGCGCTAATTTCATGCATTTTATAGATGATTCAAGGACGGATGGAAGTAAAAATCGATGCAGACATTGAGGATTATGACTCTTAACGGGATCGATAGATAATAAATTATCTTTCGATAAAACTTTTGATAAATGGAAATAAGACAATAAAAATATTCTTTATGACAGGTATTTTTTTATTGAAACGTGTTCTAATTTTCATCAATATTATGAATTTCATCAAAATGAAATTTATCAAATTTAACTATATACCTGTTTATGAATTTTTTATTTAATCCATGAAATGAGAATTTTTTTTAAAAAAAAAGGTACAAGTTTAAAGCGAAAAAGAATCCATATTTGAGAAAAACAAGTGAAATAACATGTTTGGTTTTCTAGCATTCAAATGTATGCCAAATGTCGAAAACAAGTTTATTTCTAGCAAACTAATAAAAGTTTATAAACGTATTCTATATGAAATCGATATTCCAATATCCTCTATAATCATCGCTTATAAATTTCATCATTTCAAAATATAAATGCATCGTTCGTTCATCGAATTCTTACAAATTCTTTTTGCATACTTCGATTATTATAATCTAATTCTTAATCTCACTCGAACCTTTCATGGGGGTGCAATATTATAATACGTAAGCGACTTATCACGTTTTATGAGTTATAACAACAATTCGGAGAGGGCGTGAGATTCGTCGCAGTTAAATGGGCCAAAACGAAATCGGTATAAGATAAACAACAAGTTGACATTTTCCGAGGACCCTGTCCTCCGCCTTATCTACCCTAACCGCTTAGTGGAAGAAACTCCGGGAGGAAAATCTCGAACAATACTTCGTCAACGTCAAGGAGGGATGAGAAAGGAGACGAAAGTGGCCTAGTCGAGGAGCAAGGAGCTATAAACGGAGGGGCTACTTAAGATAACAGAGATTATCTTCGCTACTCTGTGATAGATTCTTTCGCGCGCCTTCAGTGTCCTTCGAATTGATGGCCAGGGATAATAGGTGATTTCGAAAAAAAAAAAAAAAAAAAAAACACCACAACCGATAAATTATACTAAGTGGCGATTCTTGTTCCAATAATCAGGGAGGGCGATAAAATAAATTCTAAACTTCGTCCAAACATTTCGCAATTTTAATGTGAAAGTGAAGCAATCGATCCATTTTCTTTTATAAGAAAAGAGATACGTTGAATATTAATCCTAATTTTATATATTTCTTTATACATTTTTGTTAATAACAGTCAAAAAAAGAAATCATTTACAAAGAAAGATCCTATCTTTTTCTAAATAATTATCAAGTATTACACAATACTTTGATAATTCCTCTTTATTTTTGAATTACAAGGAGAAGATTATAGAAACTTAGAGAAAGAAAGAAAATCGAACGTATACATCACCAACTTTCACGATCAATAAGATCATTGATGCAACGAAGAAACATAACGAAAAAAAATCATCCAACATCGCCGCGATATTTGAAAATCTCCTCCTCGAGTTGTCGAAGATCGATTATCCCCGCGGAAGGTTGGATCGGTTCGAGTAGGATGCGATGCTTGATACGTTCGTTCAGTTTGCTCCAGTTTGTACTTAACCCAACTCCATTACCATCTCACTCGTTCAAGAGTTCTAATTGATTATATGAGGCGGTAGTTTCCCGAGTAGGAGTTCGCTCGTTACTCGGAGCTGGCTTATCCACCATCCCCCACCTTCTTCCTCGTCTCCGGTTTTCTTCCTCGCGATTCCTCTTTTATATAGGGAGGGGAGCCGCGTTCCTTTTCCGCGCCTTTACCCGTAGACGCGCGTAATTAACGGGAGAGAACTCCGGTGCTTAGACTCGTCGAAACGGCCGGCTCCTTTGATTCCCTCCGCAACTACGCCGTGTAAAGCGTTTCCCTCTTTGGATACTCGAATGTTCGAATACCAGGGCAAATTCAGGGGAGACGGTTTCATCGCTAATTTCCTGCGGATATCGCGAATTTAGTCGGTTGTGCGTTCTCGATGCGGAAACAACGATGGAGAAATGTTTCGGTGCTATTTTGCGTAAGACTAGTTGTAAGTGATTTTTATTTTGCGTGATTCGCGCTTTTATTTTACTTTTTTTTTTTTTTTAATTTAAAGTTAATTGAGTACGAAAAGAAAATTAATGAATTTTAATCGTAGATTCGTGTATATATAGGAGATATAGATATATGTAATTGTGATATTTTGAGAAAATATTTGAAAATATGTGAGAATTTTATATAGGATACAATTCTATTCTTCAATTTTATGTATGAATTGCTATCCAAATTATGAGGTAAGATAATTGTTCTGCACTGTTCTGCACTCTAGCGGTTAAAATTAAAAACATCACAATTCCATTGTCAATTGAAATCAAACGAATCAAAAAAGAGTACATATATATTTTTATAAATTAATAAATTTATAGATAAATATGTTGAGTAATATATTTGTATCAATAATATATAGATATCCATTATCTATTAATCTATACTATAATGTACAATTATACAATTATATATATTATATATATGGGTAAGGGAAGATCAAATGTGGTTAG